AAAATAAATTGAATATAAAATGTCTGTTTTAAAAATTACTATCTTTATTTCAATATTCATTAAAACTGTAATAGGATTAACCTTTGAACACGTATTTTTCCGCTCAGTATTTAGTTTTTGGAAAGTAAATTTAATATTCATTGAGTCTATTTAGAATTCTTTTGAATTAAATAAACAGAATATTTTTTCTGAAAATAACTATATTGTTAAAATGTGATTGAAAATTAATACTAAGAATATTAATTAGGTATATGGTCTTTGTTATAAATGTATATGTATTAGCTATTATGAATTACTATTTAGGAGTGTTATTTTAATAAATATATATCACCAAACAACTCGGTTATTATTTGGAATTATGGGAGTATATATATGAATGATACTCTCCCGTTCGCAAGGAATTGATTATATCGTTCGCTGTAGAAACAATGTTGTTTGAGGACGGTAAGTAAACAGCTAAGACTAATTGAAAGGCGCTACCGTACCTACACGGTATTAGTTTTAATTTATGATAGAAAATAATGAAAAAAATACTCGCGGGAACCGTGGATTTCTTTGATTTTAATTATGACCACGTCATTAAATTAAATTATAAAATATTTTACAGCTAATTTGATACAAAATATATCTACTTTTCAGTAATTGGATCTTGCAACAAAGAAAACATAAAAACGTCTCCAAAAAAAATCCCATTTCTTGTTGTGAAGTTGAAAAGATGTTTAAGTTATGAGAAAACTTCCAGCCTCGGTATTTATAGATCCAAATACAGCGGTAGCAACTGCCTAAATTGAAAAAAAATGTCATAATAACCATACATCAAAGAAATAAAGTCAAATACATACTGTTCTTAATTACCTGATAGATATTAAAGTATTTGTTATTACCTTCGGCTTATATTGAACTTTCAAAACAGTAATCACAGTTTGGAAACTAACTTTAAAAGTTTGCTGGGTAAATATTGAATATTAAGTTTTAATATGAATAGTAAAAGCCTTCCTGCTACCGCTTATTTGATCTCTTCAGCGTCATATATGTATTTTACTAGTCTTTTTACGACACAATTAATGACAAGTTTATTAATCAACTCTCTGTCTCGGTTATAACACTTTTCCTGTCTGTTTATTGATTTAATATTATCACCTGTAACAAATTCTGACCTTGGCCTTGTATCTTCACTAACATAAAATCTATTTCTATGAACATTGATAGGATTTAGTATATTTTGGATCTACTTATACGTCTTATCCATCTACTTATACGTGCTTCATAATTGTAAATATCTTTTAAGGACTTATCTAAAAAAATTGCTGAAAAATAATTAAATATGTAGTATGTCATAAATCAAATATAGAAAAATATTAGTAATTGGTATTTTTAAAAATGTATTACACTAACTAATAAACTCACAAAAAGTCCTAAATATACTCGACTACTTCGTAAAAAAATATCATTTTTTCACTGTTAGTGGAAAGATTTTTGTACAACAAAGATTATGCCTCCTAGAGTTTAATGCTTTATTGTATATTGTTTCGGGACTAAAGCCGGTCATTATACTTATTTTTTATACATAGTATACATTATACAAGTTATAAACTAAAAACGTAATGTTAAAAGTATATTATATATTACGACTAACAGCTAAAATTTTCTATAATCACATTACACCTTCCACAACTAAATTAAAACGAACATTAAATTCCAGGACGACCTTTATGTGATGGTTCCAAAAATTTTCACGAGTAGTTTATAATTAAACCAAATTATATTTTTGTATGTAATTCTACCGAATTGTATGAGTATTCTTTCTATTTGGAACAAAACTTTTGATTTGCTAGATGATAAATATTCTTATTACTTATCAAATTAAACTTTTCTATAAAGTGTTATGTGGTTAGCAAATAATTTTATAAGCTCCATCACAATTCCCGAGCACGCTTTATATTGCAAAAATAGTCTGAACACAAACAACTGTATAATAAATACAAAGAGATTCGGTCTGTCCCACTTACAATGTGACATTTATTGCAGTTGTGCCCACTAATAAGAGTTACTGAACTTCGACATATAAAAAATGGGAGGCTTTTCTTTTGTGGGCGAATGAAAACGTTTTATGCCTTGTACCGTTCACGTAAAAAAAAATTCACTGAAATGCGGTAAAAAAGAAATTAGTAATACAAATATCTCATGTTCGGACATGTTTAGAGAAAAATTAACGTCTTTATTTATTTTGATTATACTTCCTAGTGTAGAATATCATATACTTTAAGTTACCATAACCTTTTTATACATATATATATATATAAAATAAAGATAAAAGTAACTCAAACTTACTCCTTATACATAACATCACCTCATGTCAGCCGTAACGAATAGAAAACGAAACATATAAAATAAGGTATATTTCGTAATATTCATGGTGCCTAAATATGCATTAAGTAAGAAACACACAAAATATATTATTATTTGGTGTCATTTGTATTATACTCGTCGGAAGAGCAAGGTAACAACTATGACGAAACTGATCAAGACATTCGTAGAAACGACAAGAGTTGAAACCTCATTATACAACTTTAAATGAACTTTTCAAATAAACAAGAAACTAAGGACTTTATGAGCTAAAAAAGTTTCTACTGAAAAAAAAAACTTATCTGTATAATGTTCTGAGCTACAATGAGTCTGAACAATATATTATGAAAAATAATAATATTACCATCTCATCAACTGTTTATATATTTTTTTTGATATTAATATGTATTAATAGCTTTCATTCAACCAAGCAAAAAAAGAAACAGATGATAATATATGATTTAGCCATATTGTGTAATTTATCTAAAATATCCGGGTTAACGATCGAAGCTACTAGCAAAAAGTCTCTAAAACTTACATATATATTATTCAAATGAATCACAAACTTTCGTTATGTAATATATAACATATCACCGTCTCATAACCTTTGATTGATACCTTAAACTTCAAATCCAGTTGAGAATTCGAGGTGACCTTGAATTGAAGCGACGACCGTATATTCAATATAAAAATTAAATTTAATTTTATGAGGAAACGACTCAGTCGTTTTAAAAAAACTTAATCATTACTTTGCATCATATGTACTTAAAACAATTTTGAGAATAACTCTTATTGCCAATAACCTGTTCTATCAATGTTATGATATTGTATGTTTGCTATAGAAAATAAAATGTTACGTAATCTAAGACTTTCGCGAGTTTTATTCATTGAAATGAAACTAATATTTTCCGTATATACTACGCGGTTCATTTTTGTATAAAACTACAGCATTTTTCATTTAAAGTTCAGCGGCAGTTTCATTTAAATAGAATGTTATGTACTAAAAATGTAATATACGACGGTTAGATGAAAGCTATAAAAATCTAATGATAATATTTAATACTATCGGTACTATGAGTGTTATCTATCGTGTTATCAGTGTTTAAGTAGTGGAAGTAACATATGCACTTGATTTAAACCACGCCCCAATATTATGACATAATTCGTCTTACACAATAAATTTTTCAAGACTCTACTTTCATTTAATATTCCTAGATATGGTATATGTACATTTAATATTATATCTTATTTATATATCAATATTTTACTTTCTGATTATGTATTCGGTAGAATTAAACGAATACATCCTGGTGTATAGTTTTTATTACGTAATTAATAGACTGTTTTTATATAAAATAAACAAGAATCTAATAATATTTGCTATATTATTAAAAATTATGAATTTTATACAACTTAAATTAACTAATTCTAGAATGTTTCTGTGTTAATAAATATCAATAATTTTGTCTATGTGTAAACAAGTTATATAATAAGTAAACAAAAATTTTGAATGAACTATATGTGATGATGTTTTAAAGTACAAATATCTAATTAGTTATGCCCACGACTGAAGGTTGATACGTTATCACAGCCTAATGTACTACCTCCGGTCACTTCATAGCGACGTAACATTGTATAATTTAAAGTATGAATAATATTATTTAAAGGGAATAAAAACTATAAATATTTTTATAAATTTCTAGTATTAACTACGAAACTTTTTATATTGACTTACTGAAGTCTAACGTTATTGTAATTTATACATATAAATAAAATTGGTGGGTCTGTTTGTAATATTGAAATAACCGTTTTTTACTATATGCATATAATTATGTATATGGTACATACACCAAAATAACACGTTTTACATTTTTTGTCTGTCTGTCTGTTTGTTCCGGCTAATATCTAAAATGGTTGGACCGATTGTGACGGGACTTTTACTGGCAGGTAGCTGATTTAATAAGGAGTAACTTAGGCTACTTTTTATCCCGATCCCAAAAATAAGTGTTATCACGCGCGAGTGGGATCAGGAAGCACGCGGCGCTTAAAAGGTTTTTCATTGTCTATTTTCTCTTTTTACGCAGACGAAGTCGCCGGTAATAGCTAGTCTCTCATAAATTTATGAACAACCAAGCATTAAAAACTTTAACCAGAATTTGAAACTTGTTGTTTTTAATTCGTCGCTGTAAGTTCAATGAGTTGATAACTTAATTTACATTCCAAATATTGTTGATGATAATGGATTAAAATAAAACGGTGTAACAACGGTTTAGTTGAGTGGCCGAATTGAAGTAGGATCGATTTAGGATCATGTTCACAAATTCTGTTTGATAAAGATCTCAATCCCTGGAGGATTCGAAATGTCTTTTTTAAATATATCCAAAGTCAAATTATAGAAACTATTCCTCTAAGTATATAAAAATTCAATTTTTAAAAAAGGTCGTCCGAGCGATCAAATACCTATGGATTTTAATAAATTTGCAAACAATTCTGCATACAATATGTCTGAATGTCAGAAAAATAAAAATTACAAGCGTACACTAAAAATACCTATGAAATTTCCACTATCTGTTATTCCCAGTTTAACCAATATCACCTCAAAATAGACATAATTTAAGTAGCTTATAACCAATATTATAAATATATAGACTTACCTTGAAAGCATTTCTAAATTTGTTCGACATGATGTTGTACAGGAACGGATTAATTGAAGTGGATAGGAAGTACAACACGCCAGACACATACGTCAGGACTATGTACACCTGCGAACACGAAAATATATATTAAATAACAAAAACAAGTTATATTACATTAATATTACGTATATTATATAATGGTTAAGTCCGTGGTGGCCTAGTGGTTAAAATGCCCGCCTCTCATGCACGAGGGCGCGGGTTCGATCCTGGCCATGGCAAGTACCAATGTGATTTTTCGGAGTCATACGTACTTTCTAAGAGTATTTACCACTGATACCACTGATTAATGCATTCCCTAAGAGTGTTGATGTCAGGCAGGCAGCCGATCGTAAAAAACTATTCACAACATGTAAGGCAGAACCTGGCTAGGAAATTGCCAAGTAGAAGATATTGTATAATGGTAAGTAAAAGCGTAAACAAGTGGTGACATATAATAAAAATACAATTATCTCAATATGTATACTTCTTTGGAAGTTATAAAACATATTTATTTATTTTATATAATCATTTATAAAGTCAGAATTATTTTAATTACATGAAATAACAACTAAACTATTTCATCGTGCGACTTATATAATTTATATATTAATTTATGTTTCTGTGAATTTTATAAAATCATTTTGAATTCATCAACAATTCAAGTATCATAAATACATAATATAATAATCAAGTTAGTTTCTCATGCATATATATTTTAAAAAAATGTAATTAAATGCTATAATATTTTTTTATTATATGCCATCTCATTTGGAAATATTCTTTTAATATTTTATTTCTCAGATAAGTTTTTTATTAATTTTTTATTTCAATTATAATACGCCTACTATCGTAATGTTAATTTTCTGTAGGAATGATTAAATATGCTTATTAATAGCTCAATTTCACTCATCTTGTCTAATCGACTCATAAAAAGAATTCAGAAATATTTAAAGCGATGATGCCAATAGAAATCCCTTGAATATAAACATTCTATTTAAAAAAAAATGAACAAAAATGAACAAGTTATATAAATACGACCTTCGTTTATAATATTTGAATGAATAAAAAAAAAAACAAATCTCGTTTTATGGTTTTCAAACAAAACAGTTATGTTTTATTTATAGATAACAACAAAATATTAAAGTAACTACAAAACTGAACTATAATTTATAACATCTGAATGGTATTAAATATTCATTTGACCTAAATTCCTGTACTTGCTGGGATAAAGGACGCCACTTCGATATTTATATTAACAGATTTTGAAGACTTAGCGGATTTTAGATGCTCATAGCAAACTGCATCTGAAAGATATTTTAGGGAAACTATACCTATATAGTTACTTCATTTAGTATATAACATAGCTTCTATATAGATTTTATAAGTAATACTTTTTTAATGTAAAATATATTTTTTTTACATCTACGTTATGGTAATTAAAAAAAACTTATACAAATGCGGGTATATTAAATAAAAATATATTAAATGTTAAATAATACAATATTATTCAAATATATATAATAAAACTGATTTGAACATTAGATTTAGATAAAATATGTATAATAAATATATGCTTAGATACTTCGTACTTTACTGAGGAGTTCAGTATGCTTAGAATAAGTTTACACAAAAAATACGAAACATTTTTCGCTTTACTTTGATTGACCGACGTTACCATTATGTATGAATATTTATAAATTAAAAACCGTTCACGCTTCGTATTTCGTGTGACGATGCAAAACATAGGGTAAGCATACTTCGATATAAAATTATAAGTCATTAAAAACAATTTATATTTTACCCTTGTAAGCCTTTAACAAAAGTCTTTATCAATTAAGAGATTAATAAACTTTAATGACAGATAATGCAAGAATCAAAAAAAACCTTTTTGGTTGTACATCATAAAAAAGCCACAGATTATTCAATTCTAATGTGTATTTTTTTTTAAATATAAACGTCAACGACCTTTGATGTATAAAAATATGTAAATGTATACCTGCTTGTACGAATGACTTGAGTGACCCTCGATATAAATTGAAATTAAAAATATACACAGACCGTATAAAAAAGATCAAAAAGTTTCTTTATTTTTTATCAAATTCAGTTCTATAATTAACTTTGCTAATATCGAAGTGATATATAAAATTTACATAAATATTATATTACATCATTCCTAATATCAGTCTTGGTGATAAAAATTATTATGAAAGTTTTAATAAAAATTATTTTTATGTTATTGTCTTTTGAGGGATAGGTTTTTTTTATTTTAAATCATAGTTACCTTATAGAATGTGTCTGTTGGATGTTCCAAATTCTTGCCATATATCGCTATCAGCCTCTGAACGTGGAATGGCGCCCAACAGAGGAAAAACGACAACGCCACTGCGACTGTAAATACGTCACTGATTTAACATTGATTTCACTATTAAAAACTATAGTAATTTACTGCTTATCTACAGTACGCTTACCACAAGTTTAATTAACACGATGATACGGACTGTTTCTAGTTTGCAGTCATAAATGTTCACTTATTATAGTATGAACAAGTCATTCAAAACTTGTAATAAGCGTATATACCTATTTATTTCTGGAGTAAGTATCCTCCCACATCGTACAAAATAAAAATAATTTAAAAACATAATATAATTAATATGAGTTTTATTATACAATAATTTAACGACATTGGACAATTATAGTTTTATGGCTTGTATTAATTTATTACTTGAATACATTATGGTATTAACTAAACAGGTCGGTTCAAATAATTTAACACATATGTGTTATAAAATTCATAAATAATATTTATGTACGCCATTAAATGCAGGTTTATGAATTCCTGACCAAGGTCAAGTAAATACGATAAAAGTTGAAAAATGCATTTTGCATCGCATTCCCTTATTCAAGTTAGACTAAGACAAAATTATCGATTTCAGTTTTGTTCTAAGGGCTTTACTATAATCCTACTAATATTATAATTGCGAAAGTTTGTGAGTGTGTGTGTATGTTTGTTACTTCTTCACGCTCAAACGGCTGAACCGATTTTGATAAAATTTTGTATACAGAAAGCTGACGTCCAGGAATAACACATAGACCACTTTACATCCCGGAAATCCCGGAAATACTGGAAATCCGCGGGGCACAACTAGTGTGTAGATATACTTAAAATATTATAAGATTTCAATTAAAGTTAAATTAAAGTTAAAATTCCTTCCATATGGGTAATAAACAACTATTATTATTAATGTTTTAAACAACTATTATTATTAATGTTTTAAATGTGTTGTTAATTCACAAAAAAAAATCTACATCTTGTATCTTACTATAGTAATTCAGTCTTAAAATCTACTTGTGAATTTAAAAAACTACGTTAATTTGTATATCGTAATATTAATCCTTATTTCAAATATAATTACGTTTCAATTTAATGAAAAGCTATAATTCACATATTCGTCTATTCTTTATCATTCGATCAAATCATATATATGTAGTCAATAATAATATATATATACTCAAACCGAGTGCGGACTCGTGACTAGAACCTGTTTTATTTTTAATTTCGACGTTTATAACAGACATTTCTATTCGTTTTCTTTAGTCAAGGATCGGCTTCAGTAATAATATCTTTGGACTTTGTTAACATTGTTTAACTTAACAAATGTTCGGCAAACCCTTGTAAAATTACAAAACCGCAACCTTTTTTAAAAGAAGTAAGCAAACAAGGGCAATGAAAAAATATATTATTGTGTACTTTAATTAAATGTATCAAATAAAGTAAATTCTCAAACTCACTAAACAAAAACTTACTCCAAATTCAATCTTATCGTTTCGTAAGTACATTAAATAAATCTACACTAAAAATAGTAGTCTCGTAAACATACTGACAAGTTAATATATGTAGTAATCACATAGTCCAATACAAACAGAGCACTTTGGACAACCGACACGTCATATAGATTAATTTTAAAACGATGCATTAAGTCAAGTCTTGTCTCCTGCTTTCATTCTGGATATTATCCGCTTGAAAATTATGCATATCATTTTCTAGCTTGTTTGAATCCAAATCCATCGGAATATAACCAAAATGCATTTTAGGGGTCATAACAGTATGTTAACTAGAGATGAAACGGTTACCCGGTAACTAGCAATAGGAACTGAGTATCTGGCCGGATTTCGGATAGTAAATGAAAAGAACTCATTGTTTTAAATAAAGTAAATCATACCACAATAGATTATAGACCACTTTTAATGTCATTGAACACTTAAAATTAACTAGTGGTAAAAATTTTGGTGAATGAATATCAGGTTTTACGGATTTGGCTTGACTTGACCATACCCGCTTCTTAAAGAAGCCTTTTGAAAATGCTACTGCCATTTGCTGAAAGATAAGTTCTAGCAAGTCTTGACAACTGCGGGTATTGATTTAAATTAGCTGACCATTAAATGTATGGGTTGTCATATCCATTGATCCCAGATATCAATCTCTTTAAGAAAATTTCCAAAACAGTCGAATATTCCGTATCCGGTATCCGGTCAAACTATTATCCTTTTTATCTCTAATATTAACACATAATTTATACCTCTGTCACTTCTGTATTGTCCATTATAAGATGTATAGGCTCAATTAAGAGAAAATACATTTTTTTATACTCGTACAACATTTCTCATGGCGATTAGAATCTTATAAATACGTTTTAACTTGATGGTAAAGTATTTTATTTATTAAATACCTCTGACATTTTGACAGTCGATATTTATCATATACAAAATCTATTTTTATAACACATCCAATTAAAATCTCAATCTATTCTGTTTCTATTTCCTTATTTCTAAATGTCAATATGTAATTTGTTAAGCAATGTAGATTTCCATTATGGCGGAACGATTACACATAAATCGTGTTCACTGGTCCATCAAATTTGTTTTTGAAAACCATAATTTTGATAACATTGTAGTAAATATATTTAGAATGATACCCAATAATAAATGTACTTCGAAGATAATCGTTTTTATACAAAATTTTATTCCGCTTTCGCATTTAACTCACGTAACGTGATTGTTCTTTTTAAGACTTTTCTTTTAACTGGAAATATAACGTCAGACTTGAAACGGTTTAAAGTTGAAAACATCCTAGTCTTTATTTTCACGAATACCATTCCAAATTAAGTTTCACAAAGCATAATTTGCTTTAAAATTTAACTATTATAATAACAGTTCGACGCAAATTCTGTAGCAAGAGTTATAATGGGAAGATTACGGACTGTGAGAATCGCCTGTATAACTGCAATTTGTAAATAAATAAATAAGACATAAAATATATTAAATCATATGTTAGTCTATAATTTCTTACCCTTGATATAATGACATATGTACAAGAGTTGAGATTCTATAAAACAATTAACTTTAAAGCAGATTTTGTTTATATTTACACGCAAATGGGTTTTCCTTGAAAACGGTTTTACATCATAACACGTCTTGGAAGATTTTTATACACTCTTGTTAGTCTTATTAAGCTCGCAAAATATCCTTCGAGTTCAGAACGATATAAAAATATCATTAAAATATCTTGCGACGACGTAAATAAAAAATATGATTTGAAATTTTCAACCTTCATTAAATATTATACAAAGGCTTATAATCAATATATTACGCGTTTATATCATCTTTTTTTCTCACTACCAAGAAGAAATAAATAATAAAGATTTTATTATTTTGCTCTTTTTTAGTACCAAAGTTCTTATAAGTGAATTCTTTTAAATAAATCTGATCAAGGTACTATTATGTAACAAGGTCTTTGGTTTAAACGTTAACTTTATGTGACTTCAATAACTTCATCATTAATGTAACCTTAAAGTTTATTTTGTAAACATTTTGTTTATAACCTCGAAATGCTCAAATAATTCTAGAATGTTTAATACAGCCATATCTATTATACATATTAAAATAAGTACAAAAAATTGTTTTGCTCTATATATTTGGCAGCTTTTAAACACGTGCAAATATGTTATTTTATAATTATACTTTGGAAGCTTTGATTTATTGTTTAATTGCAAGTAGTTTTTGTATCAAACAGTTCTTAGTTTTGAGTGACGTACAAACTATCGAATAAAGATATCAATAAGATTGTCGTGATATATTCAAGACAAATATTTTATATTAACACTCCTACAAAAAACTCAAATTCCATAGAGCATTAGCAACTTAACTATTGACTTTGAGTATCTTGTTTTATTAGTATTGTCTCACCTAACATCCTAATGACTCTTCTTTGGGAAGCGCCGTTTCTGTATCGAGGAGTACCATTGGGACGATCGCCGCTTTCAACCGATGATTTCTTGACTGGATGCAAAACCCTTGACGTGTGTAACTTGAGACCAATCAACGCATATAACACAGTTATCAAAGACATTGGAGCAACGAAAAACACAAAACTTGATATAACAAAGACTTGGTGTACACCATGACCTTTTACTGTACATGCACTGATAGTCTGACCGTTCTCTTTATAGGAGACAACACCGAACTGCATAGCTTGAGGTACCGCGGAACACAGAGCACAAATCCATATAGCTATAATGTATCTCACTGCTCTAGACAATTTTGACATCTTGTGAGACATGAATGGACGGCATATGGCTATATATCTTTCAACAGTGAACGCAGTTATTGTTAACACAGTAGCGTTGGCTGATGTCTCTGATATCAAACCGACTGTAATACATAACGCTTCTCCTAGTGGGTAAGACAGTGGATTCCACAATCTATGCACTTCCAACGGCAATCCACAGATAAGCAAGAGAAGATCGGATATCGCTAAACTAAATAGGTAAAAGTTTGTAGCTGTGTGCATGGATCTGTTCCGACCGATGACAACACATGTGCTTATGTTTCCTAGGATTCCAGTCACAAATATAATAGCATATATCACGCTCAAAGGAACTATCACATCCAATGATTCGGGTTCAGCGAAACCGGACTGCGTGTCATTTGTTTCATTCAACGATTGCAAATCCTCTTCGTCCAAATCCATTTTCACTTCATCAAACTGCGATACCTGAAACAAAATATATATTTGTTAATCATCCAATATACTTTCGTTTTTACACCGTGGTTTACGAAGTAGCAAATTTCTTACGGGTCTATTATTAAATCAAGTATAGCTTTCCTCGATAAACGACTATCTGACAATAAAATATTTTTTCAAATGTGACCAGTAATTCCTAAGGTTAGAGCATTCAAAAGAACAAACTCCTTAGCTTTATAATAGATAGATAAGGCATGTAAAAATAAGTAGGCTTGAAAAGATATAGTCTGATTTTTAGTATGATTAACATAACATTCTAGCACTAAACATATATATTTTCTCTAACTAGTGCAACCGTTTTTTTTATCCTATGAATTTATTAATATAAATATAGAAATAGGGGAAAATTGAACCAGATATTATGTGACTTTAATATAGAAATAACAATGTTCAATGCAAAATTTAGTAGATTGCACCACTGCCCATATATGAAAATCAAAATATACGGAATCATTGTTTATGATTTCAGTCAAAGCACGATGGCTTAATTGGCAAAGAAACTGGGCCATGACATCCCGGATGTCTCAAGTTGTAATCCCACCCGTCTGTTGAATTACTTTATATTATTTATATGAATTCCAGCTTAAAATCGCTGATACGTGAAAAGAAAAACATTATAAAAATAAAACGAAGTAATGTGGAAGAAGAATTAAAATGCATTTTATAGTATTGTTTATATGAATGACGTTAAAATATCATGTTTAATTTTCCTAACAACTCTACGTACTTAAACTTAAGCTGGAATTTTAAAAGATTATTTGAATATAAATTTTAATATGAAAACCAATAAAATTTCGCTGTCATAATAATATTTTTTTTTACTTCTTTGGGTCAAAAATATAGGAGAATTTTATAAAATTAGAATTTCACACGTTTTCCGCTCTCGTCATAGAGCGTCGGTTTTGTTCGGGTACTGCAATTTTTTTAAAGTATGGATGGATTTGATCTAATAAAAAACATCTCAATATAATTGTGGAATATATGTATAATGAAAATAACTGACTAATGAAAATTTTCTATCCACAGAATGTAAACAGAAATCCTCATAAGAGGAAGTGCGAAGGACTGTAATTAAGTGAACTACAACTTCATTTACCACAAGTAAATAGTCTTGAAAACTTTCATAATGAAAATTACATTTAAAATATTTTTTTAAAATGTTATGGATTCCTTGAAAATTTGCCATTAAAATATATTAAACTGAATGTACTTGCAGTTTGTACAATATTATTTCGAGTTATTATGTTTTTTATAAATTACCCAAACAAAAACGAATTCCAAGAAAAAAAACAATTTTAATTAAGAAGGTTCATATTATCATCTTCTCTTTGTACAAAAACACATATAAATTAATGTAAACAATTATTTATTTATGATATTAATTTTATACATTTATTTCTTCTTACCTTTTTCATAAAAATTTCTTAAATGCATTACATAAAAGCAATAAATGGTTGCGTCTCGATATTTATTGATATTATGCTTGATTAACTTATAATCATGATACCTCTTAGAAATACCAATAGCCAAACGTAACATTCCACTTAAAAAACTATTTTTCTATACCACAATCCACACTGTACTTATATAGCAAACAAAAGATTGCTCTCCAAATTGCTTCAAAGCCATTTGAACAAATAATATTTCCGATCGATACATCTAATTTCTTTTTTTCAGTATTTCCAAATAAGATTACAAGAATGGATGAGGATTTCGTCAGTAATTGGATACAAGGTTCATAAATATTTTTGTTATTTCAATTAGACATATTCCTAACACGTTTCGTATGAATATTGTTCAATGAAATGAATTCATGCGCATTTAAAACGATTTTTCAGTTGAAAAAAACTTGCTACGCCTTTAAAACAAGGTGCATGCAATATAGTAAAAAGACGAGAAAAATATTATCACTTAGTAAAAACCAATATCCGATGGAAACTCATCGAAGCGCAGCTGTCTATGAAATGCACTCACAGCCAATTTACAAACATTTTGCTTCACTTGAATCTTTACATTAAAATTCTCTATAAATAAATAAACATTTCATCAACGATATTATTTATAATTAAACACACGAAGACAGAAACATTCAGAGAATCCGTCTATAATCCTACCTAATCGGAAACATAATAATCATATTACGGCCTTTATCAAAATCAATTTGAAACGAATGATTTGATAACTGAAAAATAAAATAGACTCATGAAATATTCGCCATTCTATGGAGTGACGGAATGCTGAACATGCTCCATTTTTATGAGGCTGCAACAATGGCGACATATTTGGATTTATGACAGTTATTTATGGGACACTTACAAAACCTTGAAACCATTATTACCTTAAGCGATCCGTTCATAGAAAGATTATTCAATATTTTATAGATACGTGAAAAGTTAAATATGGCGTAAAATAACTTACGTTTCATACCGATTGAATAACAAATGACTTCATCTGAATGATGTAAATACATTTTTAATTAATACACCTTTTTTACACAACGATTTAATGCGATAATCTGTATGACATTCAAATAACCTCACACGTAAAACAGTATCCAATTATAATTGATATTTAAGTTTCTCCATTTTAATTTTTATAAAGACGATACTGATAAAACTAAGAATATGAACGTCATTTAAAAATAAATATTCTTTATAAAAAGAAGCGAAGAGGATGAAAATTGAATAGAAATATCATAATGTTGATTTATAAGTTAATACATATATGTTATCCTTTACACAGAGAGTAAATTTAGAGTTTAATCCAACACTTACGTCGTTATCTCTTAAATTTCTTAGATCATTGTTTACTACCAAGCCTAATAATACTTGAGGTCCCCATCATATCTCCCACTGAATTTTCATAAAGCCTGGTTTCATAATCCTCTTAGTACGGACCAGCATGTCATGTAGACACAATTAAGGGATATATCTAGTATGTATATACTATAGACAAATCATAATTACATATATTGTTTACAAAGGATAGAAAAGATAGAAAATAGTTGAAAAATTTTATACCGAAGATGACGATCAAAAATATTCGTTACATCTTGAGTCAGACTATTATATTATTATTTTTAGATCACTCAATGATTATGATTCCAAAACTGAATTAATATGTTCATATATTATATATTTTGTTTGATTTACATACAAAATTATAAATTTAAAATAGCAGTCGCGACATCAAATCATCGTAACATTTATGTTCTCCGGTATTGAAATCAAAGAATTGATTATTATTATTAATGAAAAAATAACACGATTATAAGAATGAATAGTCACTTACACACCTACGCTGTCTTCAGTATCAGATGAAAACTATGAAAAAAAATCCAATTTATACCATTAGATGTATATTTTGAACATATGTACCTACATTTACGTACATTTTGAATAATCAAAACACAATGTAGACTGAAATTTGCATGCCGCATAAAACAAATGACGTGGTAATGATTACTATTCAAAGCTTAGTATTAATAAATATAAAATTTTAGAAGTAAACAATAATATACCTAATTTGTTTTATATTCCCCCCAATAACTGTTCAAATTGTAGATTCAGTGGTCTGATTTTTTTATAAATAATTCTCATTCAAGACTAAGAAACATAGAAAATTTTTGTACATCCTAGTGTTTTATATTATAATTATATTTTATTTTAAATAAATTCATACGAGTGAAACTCTTACTTTTTCATTAAGATGCTAATGCTTCCCCTCTGTTTTGCTTTTGTGAAGGCTTTCTTTCTAAAATTTATTTAGTAGAGTAAAAAGAAATATTTAATAATATTTTTGTCACCAATTAATGATTAATTTGTTTTTCATTTCATATCAAGTATTTTTCAGTTATTTCTATAATGTTGCCACTTTTCAAAAGTAAAACAATATTGAAAACAAAATTGTTAAAAAAAATTGATCTAAGGAAATCTATCACTCTAAGACCGTTGCTATTGTCACTTTCTTTATTTTTATAACAAAGGCCGAAATTCCAATTGTAGCGAGGTTCTCCCAATAGTTAAATATGTATTGTTCGTGTTCATTCAATTGTAAAAAGTAATATAAGTTTATATGAAATTATTTTAATAATTGATATTTCATTGAATGCTATCTACTATTATCGTAAGTAATCATTGATCGTAAAGTCCTAACAATTACTAATTGTTTTTATTGCGTTGCAGTAAAACTGAACATTAAAAACAACTTTATATTTATTGGTAATATAACCAATGTATTGACTATTGTTATTACAGTCTTATTTTTGCTTGAAGAAATAGTTTACCTTGCATACTAACTTTAAAATTTTTTGGAGTAACATTTTGTTAGTAGTGCAGTGGTAAATTTGTATAATGGAATAGAGGTGCAGAGTTACAACAGAATAGTAGTTTTAATATACTATTCTACTGTTGCAACTATCGTAGTATAATACATAGTATGTAGTATAGTAGTATGATAGTATAGTAGTATATAGTAGCATAAATGATGAGGTCGACAAGGAACGCAATACAAAGTAATCCAGAGATAGGTTATTCAGTTTTATTCGAGAACTAAATTAAGTCGCTTCGATATATGCGTATGAAGGAACTATATCATTATATCAGAATGGTATACGAACCGATAGAAACTAATACAAAAGTGGATCCAAATTTATTTGCCCACAGCCAGTAATTTTCAGCTCGTGTCATATTTCAAGAACGCTTTATGTAACATTATCCTTTGAACAAGTTCCTAAGTACATATCTTCGTAGATACACGAACGTTATATAACGCTAACATAAAAAAAAATCCAAATAACAAAACCTAAATATCATTTGATTTATATAATTAAACGTTCCAGATTATTTTCGTGAATGCGAACAATTTAAAAAGCACGTACAGAAAATAAATGTAATTTCTTTAGTACTTTACATAAACCAATAATCCAATTTATTTGTCTCGAACAT